GGTGTGTGCTAGTGAAATGTGTAACTTGCCATTACAGGAAAACCGTTTGTGTACAACAAAAGTGGGGGTTGTACACAAGGGTGATTGACAGCACTAAGACCTTCTCCTGCCTGTTCACATTTTGACTGAGCTGTGTGTTTCTGTAGCGCTTGTAGCACTGGGGGAAGTCAGAGGAGCTCGATTTTTATTTTTTTTATTTTTATTTTTCACAGTTTGTCTCATATGATGTGTTGGTTTTGACAAACATGTAAGCAAACTTTTTTTTTTTAAATTAAAGTTACATGCTGCTGCTTTAAACCATAAAGCAGCAGATTTAACACATTTTCACTGTGTTAAATCTGAAAACAACCCTCTGACTTTAAAGGTATTTGTTATGATGGAAATGAACACTTTTTTATAAAGTCCCATTTATAAAAAGCAATACTGGTATCCATTTTGTTTGCTGCCTATCGTGACATAGCAGCGCTAACCACAGTTCTGCCCTGATTGGTTGATCAGCGACTCTTGACATCTCCTCTCACATTGCAGGAAGAAAAGCTGTTCAATAAAACAGATTCAGTAAAACAGAATCTTTGAATCCAGGAACAATCCTTCCCCAAATGTATCAGAGCCAGGATTGTTCACGCTGCATGTTGCATTTGCTTACTTTTGTGCAAAGCTGTGCAGGATTCTGATTTTTTGCTCCACATTTCGGACCTGTGTCCAGCGTCACTTGGAGACTTCCTTTGAGAAGCGCCCTGCTCTGAATCCAAAGCGGGGAATTACCAAGACATCCAAGAGGCTCGGTCCAAAGCCAGCAGCGGCCAGTTTCCAATAGGAAATTTTCACCAACGTGGTTCGAGTCGTTAATTAGAGCTGTTGTTTAGGCATCTTCTTAACTTGTTCTCAGAGGAACCGCTTTGCTTTTCCAAAAGCAAAATTCACACAATTAGGCCATTATAAATGTCTATCCAGCGTATCGATCCTTCTTATGTTTTAATCTAAGCTTTTTGAGGAGGATCGTATTGTATGGAGACAGTTTAACCAACCAAATCATTTTATTTATCTTGGTGTCTCCTGCCAGATGCCCGAATGTCTCCACCCTAAGTTATTAAGCAGCAACCTGTGCTTGTGAGCGCTTACAGTCATAAACAAATAGTCTTTGGCTGGCACCAGGAGCACTGAAAAACGAAAGTTAAACGCAAGATTTATATCAAAATGTATTAATGCCATCTGGGTTGCTTGTGTCTAAGAACTGAGTAGAAAACAGTGTTTACAGATTCAGCAGGAAATGTGAGCTGTGACTCCAACTCAAACCAGCAGATTGACTCATAAAACCTGTGACGGGTAATAAACTAAATCACAGAAAGAGTCTAGACAGTTTGTGCAAGTGGATCAAACTAGTTTTGATATTTTGAGTTTCTCCCCTCCTCTTGTTTCTCTTTTCCTCTTTTAGACTGACATGAGTACTAAGATTCAGAATCGGACCACAAAGCCATTATTTTAGCCTTCTGAAATGATAAATGTTCATTTGTTCAGTTTGAATCTTTTGAGCGAAAACTCTACCTTTGAGTTGTAGCTGCAAAGTAAAAATCAGTGCTGCCATCTTTAGTTGCAAGATGTGTTTATTGTCTGAAACTTCCTGAAATAATTAGCAAGTAGACGTGAAAGTAACACTTAATTACTTTCTCAAAATTAAATTTGTAGTGCTGTTGGTGTAAATAATCATATTCCTCATAAATACACAAAAAAAAATCTTAAAATTTTCATTAGAAGTTTCTAATGAAATATTAATCCAACAGATTTATTTTTAATCAGTTGTGCAAGTGACTGGTTTATGAATCTTCAATGAATGTAACTGGCTCACATTGCATGAAACCTGAACGTCTTGCAGCTGAACCCTAATTGTGAAGCGGTACATTTCAAAGTGTGGATCCTGCTGTCCACGCCGTGGTTGTCTCTTGGTGATGGAGAGCATGTGTCGGTGGGCACGCGTGCTGTTGAGTGCTCCAGATCACCCGCTGCAGGCGTGACCTTCCCTCTCTCGCTGCTTAACCTAATCAATTACGGTTCAGAACAGAAGCCAGGAGAGTAGGGAGACAAAATGCCCATGACCTTGTCAGAGTCCCGAGGAGACTGTGAATAATTCCAGTTGAGTCCCATAAAGAAGGTTTCCATGGCAAAGAGGGAAGACTAAAGGTAGCTTGTTAGGCAGATAAAGGGAAGGTGTAAAATAAATAAGTTGGGCACGAAGATAAGACCCTGTGTTGGTTATTAATGTGAAGAAGAGAAAAAGGAATCAAGTCAGTGTGGGTTTTCAACCATCAAACTGTGACAGGAAGTTAAATGAACTTCTGGGTGACTTGCAAACGACATAAAAATGGTTTGTACTCTAGACCAGCCTCCTCCTACTACCTGAAATGCATTACTGTCAGAGTAAAAAAAAAAAAAAAAGAAGATATATGCACATTTATTTTCATCTATTTAAGTTTGGTGGGCTACGCTTCACAAAATTTTGATTTGACACTCTTGAAAACCTATTAACATCCATGAGCAATGACAGAATACTCCTCAGGTAGTTTTTATTTAGGGTTATATCCATTTTTTTTTTTTCATTTTCTAAAAGCATTGATCTGCTTATATAATCCTCAAAGTCGCCCTGGATCTGCACGGTGCAAATTCTGCCTTCAGACAAAAACATCAATTAATTATTCAGCACTGACTTTAGTCATTTCAAGTGGTGGCATTTGAAAGTATTGTATTTTAATGTGGAGACTTAATTTTTTTTTTATTGTTCAAGTACATAAGTAGGAACACTTTAATCCTTCCTTATTACGTATTATACATTGCATTTCCAAAGTCTGCTCTTTGGATTTATTTATGTATCATAAGATTCCAGCCACAAAACTGTTGGTATGTTATTAATGCGATGCAGAAATGCATATAGAGTGCAATAATTAGAAGTAAAGGGATAAATGAACATATTCTTGCTCAGATTAAGTCTGCTGAGTCAATAGCTTGAAGAACCACCTTTAGCTCCACTAACAGTTTTTTGAGTACAGTGAACCCCTGCGTGTTCATGGACTCACCTATTGGTTCATTTTTCCACGGAAAATTAATCCAAATTACTACCCGGTAATATGCAAATTAGCTACAATAGCTAATCATGTTGAAGCTCCATGATGGACATCGGAAGTGAGGATGAGGAGTATTGAATGGATGTTGTGCCAATATAGACATGACCTCTATCCATACCTTCTCTATCATGCAATATTTGACTGCATCTTACTCATCGTACATGATTGTTAATCTTCTTACTTTGTAAAAAGCGTTGGTTGCAAATCCACCAAGGGCTGCCAGTCCTTACGACTGGTGACTGTCATCCATCGTCTTCTTTCCTCATCACAGGGTAAACTATAAAATGACAAGTTTGGTTTGTGTAGCTAACAGCGTGGCACCCAACGTGCAGTTTCACATTGAATTCAACTAAATAAAACAGAAGGTATGAGTTTGCCCTGTAACCAACGTGTTGCTGGACCAATCTCAGTCTTTGCGTCCGTTGGCAAGACACTTTACCCCTCTTGTCTGCTGGTGGCCAAAGGGCCGTGTGACTCCGGTACATGGTAGCCTCACAGGGCAGTCTTCTGTCAGACTGCCGCAGGGCAACTGTGTCTACAGTGTAAGCCTACCACCATGTGCGAATGACTGAATGTAGTCATGTAAAAGCGCTTTAGAGTCCTCTGAATGAGATAAAGAGCAATAAAAGTACTTACCATTCATTTTCTTCACCACAGATTGTGTACCCTCAGCCAGAGCACACATAAGGGAGACTGTAGGTATTAGTTTCTGCTGTGACACTAATATGGTTTCCACTGTGCGTATTAATGCATGTTCAGGTGTACTTGGTGTTTGAATGATTAAAGTAGCTTGGTATAAACACTTGGAGGGGATCTGAAGTATTTGGAGATTTTAGCATGTCTTATTCTCACATGTCCTGACCTGGCAACATAGTCGGAGAGGATTTACTCTACATGTGGAGTATTGTGAATGATTCCCTTTTTTGCTATTTTGTAATAATCATCCCTTGAATTAAAGGGATAATAATCCATATAGTATTATGTAACCAAGTGGACAGGTTGGGACACTTGTCTCTAACAATGTTCTTTCAGGGTTGCTCTGTAACCAGCTTCACGCGTCTTCCCGTCGACACTGGCCAGCTTTCATCTGCACAGCATGATGCTGCCAAAGCCATGTTTTCCCCACAGGGAGGGTGAATTCAGGGCGGTGTTTGGTTTCTATTTTTCTCCCTTCACGTGGTGGAGAAGGCGTTGAGGGATATGAATACGTTTGCCAGGCACAGTCTTGTTCCAGAGCCCAGAAGCTGCCAAGGTTGATTTTGTCAGGGTCTGTGGATTCCCACTGTGAGGTACTTAATAATTCCTGAGGCAGGTTTGAGTAAATCTGACTTTATTTATTTATGCTTATTGTGCCTAACTGTAGAGGAAAAACATTAGCTTTGAGCCTTCACCATTCATAGAACTTGTAACTTTGCTTCCGTTGTTATAATTCTCGGGGTAGTTTGTTTAAATCTCTTCATTCTTCCCGGCAGTTTATGTGGCTGATTTTTTTTATTTTTTTTAAATCCAACATTTCATGTTTAACAGTAAAAACTTTGTGTTAGGACATCTCATTAAAAGGAGTCTCTATGAAAACCTTTGGTAGTTTTACTCAAATGGGTCATTGCAGCTTTGTTTAAAGGGAACCTTCACACTATACATCTAAGTCTTGTAAAATAAAGCAACTAGAATTTGCATCCCTGACCCCAACCTGAGATCTGCTGATGCCAAACTATGATCGATATCAATGTTAATTGTGAGTCTGTTTTGCTTTGATTAAGTCTTAAATAAAGCTTTACTTGTTCTGCCAGTGTTTTCTGTGTGCAGAAACACTTCCTGCGATGCTTATTTCACACTCGACCAGCTCCCAACACAGTTACAGCTGGAAGCTCTCCAGTGCTGCCACAGTGTGGGACAGGATTAACATTCAGGGCTTGGGAAAGTCACTCCAGAGGACACTATAGTTGTTTGTGTCTGAATTTATCTGAGGATTTCAACCAGCAACCTTTAAAATCCTCACGCTTCACCGGCACCACTTTGGTTGTACGTATTAGTTGGAGACGACTGCAGAGTACTCCACAAGATTTTATTGACACTTTAAAAAGCTGGGTAAGAATTTTTTATGAGTTTATGTTTTACAAAGCTGTAACTCATTGGAAATTGTTCGGCTGAAGGGCTGGGCGGTAATGCAACTCAAAGCTATTTCAGCAGCTGGTCTCTGCATGAATTCTTGTCTTTAGAGCAGCTTATTACCTTTCACTGCTGTATTATAGCCTAGGGAGGGCAAAATGTTGAGTTTGCACTACTGTAAAACACGTTTCAAGATTTTCATATCCCTCACAGTCTAGGGGGTATTTTAAATCTCAACAGCATCTTCTGAAAAGACAAATGCAATAACAAATCAGGCGGAGTGACGATGAATACAGAATATGTTTTCAAACATGCACAAGCAGACTGTCAAAAAGAATTATGTTCTGTCACTGTTCAGCTTCTGTTTTCTAAGTTTTATTTTGTTTGCTGGTTTGCAGTTCAGTGAAGCAAAAATTAATCTGATCCCAAGCTAAACTTGAACTTAGGGGACTGAAATGATCAAATATTTATGCTTTTCTCAAAACCCCGACCTGAGGAGTTGCCCACTGCGGAATCCAACAAATGTTCAGGAAATGATAGAAGCCTGTCATTTTCCAAACGAATGTTAAAAAATATTCTTTGCTGTCAGACATAGGAATATTTCTGAGAGTCAAATTGTCAGAAATATTTGAAGTAGCTCCATGTTTTTCCTATAACATTCCACACCAAGTTTTATTATCTGCAATGTTTGTAGCAACATTAAGGAGATGTATTTGAAAAAAAAATCTATATCATAATCTATCAAATCTCAGTCTGGGGGATGAATCTTGAGGAAAAAGTTTTTGCCACCTTAAAAACTTTTTCTGTTTTTGCTTTTTTGTTCAAATCATCAAATAAAACCTGAGTAAATCCAAAAAGCAGGTTTTGAATTATCAGAGAGCAATCTAAATAAACCAGAATTGGTGTAAAAAAAAAAAAAAAGTTAAAATAAACCTGTACTTGTGTTCTTGTTGGATTTAGAAATTGCATTTATTATTAATCAAATCACTGTGTATTCACAAATGATTAACTAAGCAACACACAAAAACAAATATAAAGACTAACAGAAACAGTCAGTCTATCTTTGCTCTACAGCAACAGATTAAATAATTAATAACCTGAGGAACAAACAAAATAACTGCAGCAATACATTTATTCAAAAGTTTAAATTGACTTTTAAGTTTGCTCATTTAAAAAGACAGAAGAAAGGTATTTCCCTGATTTTATGTTCCTATTCTGTGCAAAAGAAAACCATGAGGTGAAATCAAAATATAGAACCATTATTGATCCATCAGCTTTCAGCACCAGAACCACGACGATACCGCAGAAATGAAACCCCATCTCATTTTCTGTCAGAAACAAATCCAATTATTAAATGGAAATCATTTTTATTTTAAGTTGGACAGGGGTATGAATAATTATGGCCTTTAGTGCAGCACAAAAATGTGAGATTCTGGGTCACAACTGGCTGAAATAACAAGTTGCTTTGACTAAAGCAACAATTAAGAAAAACAGTTAATGCATGTGAAGATTCATATTTGAGGAAAGCCTACACGTGTTTTGCCCTACACGTTGAGTAATCTGCAGTTTTTCACAACATAATTGGTGAATGTAAATAGTCTAAAGCTCTTTGTTTTGTCATTGAGAATTTTTAGCCAAGTTCAAGTAAAAAGCAAAAGAATGAATGCAAGGAAAGAGACAATAAATCTGCACGTTAACTAATAAAACAGAAAAAATGACACTTTTTAATAACAAAATCACACTCTGCAACAAAGGCAAACAAAGCACATATGGTGAAATCATTGCACTGTCTGCAGTTGCTTCACCTGGAGTTTGCAGAATAGTCTCGACTCTGATTCCAGCAGCAGCTGATATTAGCTTGTTTGTTTCTAACCCATCAATCATAGTCACCTCCTAATGACTTATTCATTAACTTCGCCAAAACACACATCCCGATGATGAGACTGGAAGGAGCATGTTTCAGGACACGCAGATGCCGGGTTTGCAATCAGCATTCTGTGGTATTAAAGCCACTATTAATCAGTTTTAGTCGAGCTGGAACACGTCCCAGATGCACGGTCCTGGGAGCAAAAAGAATCAGAAAAATGCTGCCTGTGTGCATGCATCTATCTGCAGGGTACGGTGTGCAGCACAGGCAGGATGGGGAGAGATTTAAATGCTGTCTCCTAAACGAGAAAACCATGACATCAGCAAAATGCTCCTAACAATAAGGTAGACATTTAGCGTAATGGCTGAGTAAAACACTGTCCATTGGTTCGACTCCTTAAATTAAATGAGCGTCTTAGATTGCTGACCAACAAAATGGAAGGATGGAGGGTTTTACCAAGTAAAATAAAAGCTTTACAGATTCTTGTAAGGTATTAACTTTTAAATATTTTATATTTTGGCAGGTCACAAAATGTTGTATATTTTATGCAGTAGACCAGCGTATGTTTTGCTTTACGCCAGAAGAATGCCAGAATACTTTACTGATTTTTATTTTCAATAGTTTTATCATTTTTCTTCCACTTCATAATCATAAACTGCTTTGTGTTAATCTACCCCATAAAATCCCAATAAAACAAGTAAAGCAACAATGAGTGGAAGAGTTGCAGAGTTGTGAATATTATAAAACATTAGATCCCTGGTATTTGCAGGGGCAGCTTTCTATCAGGTTTCCTGTAATAGATAGACTCTTTGGATACGTGGGACCCGCTCTAATAACTCTTATGGCCACCTATTTTAATAATTCACACACTAACACACGGCACTTTTCCATCAATCTGCTAATGTGCCATTAGTGGATTTCTCGTTTAGCAATTTGCTAGCTGTGAAAACATTTTGCGCACTTAGCTTCTCCTAAATTATTTTGCAAGGTAAATTCTGAAATACTAATTTGCTTTGCTGTTTTGTAAACCTTAGGAAATCTCCATTAAGTTGCACGTTTATATTTTAGTGCTGTTTTTGAAGTGGGTAAAGACTGTCTACACAGCAGCTCTGTTTCTTCTTCTCAAATTTGCTCCTCTCTTTTTCCCCCAATCACTTTGTTTCAAACAAGAACCATACAGAAGTAAAATAAAACACAGAAAGGGAACAAAAACTAAATACAACATCTGAGGGCATAATAAGAAAATTAGTAATTCTAGAAAATTAGTTGTTGTCTTTCAAGGGAGGGTATAATTTGAATTGAAGTTAGCACTTGACCATTAGTACAGCATGCTTTAGCGTTAGCAGAACTAATGTTTATAATTAGTGCTGGTCAGTGCAACTAACTTTTTAGTTAGTAGTGCCTACAATTGTCCAACACCAAATATACCGTAATATGCATCAATATGCACAGATAAAACCATTTTAGCGCGACTACAGAAGCTCATATCTACATTTGTTCTCACTGTTGCCAATTCCTCAGCAAGTAAAGTAGCATTAGCAGGAAGTAGTATGCAGTTCTGACAGTTGCTACCACTCACTGCATGGTGTCACATCACTTAATTTCCATATTTGGTCATGAGCAATCTGGGAAGTTGAAGAAAGAAATATCAGCAGGAAAATAAAAAGTGCTTCATGATTGGCTACTTTACAAATCCAAGGTAAAAGCTTATATAGTAGCATTGCGCCTGAGCATTTCAGCTTCCCTAGCTGCATTTTCTTTCAAACACTTTAGATATTCTCCATGATGAAAACCACAAATAGGTCCTGCTCCACTGTATTGCAAGGATCTGTATAGAATGTTTTGATATTAAGAAATTCCTGTGTATGTAGTCATTGCGAGCAGGGCTTTTTAAAGTTCTTCTTTCTTGAAAAATCATGTTTTTTAGACATATCAGGAAGCCTCGTTGTGCTTAACCCCTTATGAACCTTACTGTATGTTGTATGTGTATCCAAAACGGAGAAGATATTTCTGCAGGATGCATCGATGTTTCTGGATGCACTGGGAGCATCAAAGGGAAATAATAAATCCAGACACTTTAATCTGAGATGTGTCACTCAGTTTGAGAAAAGGTGAAGGCCTTCATGCCTTTTAGTGTTACAGCCCAAAGAACAACTCCATCCGCACAAAGGAAGGGTCAGAGAGAAAAGGGTGACCCGTTTAAAACATGCCAGCAACGGGGTCTGACCTTAAATCCATTGAAAACCTCTCTAAAGCTGAAATGTGCTGTTGCATAAGCACTTCTGTACAAAGACTAGTGGAATAGTGACAGAACCAAACTGTGTAGAGGTATTAAAAGGTTCCAGATTGTTTATAAATGTAATTTGAGTTTCAGTGTTGACTGAAAATTGGATAGTCAAACTTTTTTAATGAATAACAATAACTGTGATTGCGTTTACACTATTTTTTTAGTTCTTCAATATCTTCAGACATTTCATTAAAGCGTTTTAGAGGTTTAAGACTTTGACTCTTATTTCGTGGCTGTGACTGGAATCCAGGGGTGTCAGTATCTCTTCCCAGCGCTGTGCCAGAAACATTTTCATACTGGGCTTTTACAGACTTAATCCACTGTTGCATCCACTAAAAATCACTCCAGATGAAAGTGAAAGTTGCACTCCTAAAATATTACGTGATTGGCACCACGGGAAGCCTTTTATGTTTGTCCAGATTTGCCGAGTGAATTCAATGTGATCAAGGGCAGATTTGATTGAAAATGTAAGTCCAGGGTAGAAAGTGCATCTCTCAGGCTTACCACAGGGAAGGGGAAACAGTGTGTGTCTGACTGCCAGGCGCAGCTGCCGGCCTCTGAAGCGATACCCCGGGTGGGTGCTGTCTGCTGTGGGTGACTACAAAACGTCTCCTGAGGTGGCCCTATCAGTTAGGCTGTCACAGTGTTGTAGCCGTGCTAAATACCATCGTGTCCTTGGATGGATTCGCTTTGCTCCTGTCATTCATCATATGTTAAAAGAGAACTTCTGGCTGAGTAATTTCCTGTTTTGACTTAACTCATACCAACTGGTGTAAAAGTACAATAAGCTACAGAACTAAAGAAATATACAGTATCATGCTGCAA